CTGAGATATTCTCGGGTAGTACAAGTACAAGTACTGTACAAGCACAAGCACACACACCCTTCGAAACCCGTCGACGACTGACTGACTTGGATTCAATGTAAAATAGTTTCCTTTCTCAGGGTTTTTTGGGTAGGGAATTTTTCAGGACTCGACTTCCGTACAGTCATTTCTTACTCAGGGTTCGGACAAGACTTCTCATGATATCTGTAAAAGGTTTAGTCTGTGATTCGAAACGAAATTCTTGGGATGCTGAAGGTTCTGAAGGCTTGACGGTTTATTCAGGACTTGCCTTAAAAGTACAGTCATTTCCTTTCTCGGGATTTTTTTTGGGTAGGAAGTTTTCAGGACTCGACTTCCGCACAGTCATTTCTTACTCGGGGTTCGGTCAAGACTTCTCATGATACTCAGTTACTCGTTCTTGGGATTCTCAATGTTCTGAATCAGTTTCCTGCAATTCACTGTGGGATTCAATAAGAAAAAGGATTCCATCAAAGCATCAAGATGTTTCTTTAATTTCAGCCCAAATTCAGGCAACTTCTTGACCATGGATTAATGCACGTTGGAAACGTCCAAACTCAGCATCATGAACAGCATAATTTCCAAAACCAGAGCACATTTTCTCCATTGAAAAAGGGGTATCCGATCTGAGACAATATCACTCAAAAAGGATTCTTTAATCATTCGCAATAATATTTGACACTAGCAATGTTTCGGGATTTATAAGAAGTGCAAGTGCGCAAACCATTAACGATACTTTCAAATTAAGCCTGGAGTCCGAAAATGGTTTTAAAAATATATAATAATTCGGTAAAAATTAAGAAAAAACTTCAATCAACCAAAAAGAAGAGAATTCGATGAGAGAAGTCGGACCGACAAAACTTCAAAGGCCAACCCTTGAAATGTATCTCCCAAATCGATCTAATGAAATATTCTGCTTGAATTTGTAGTTTACGGTCCCGGAGCAACATTTTGAGACTTAATGTGATGTATGTAAATGAAGCATTCGAAAAAAGTGATTCAGCAGAAGTTCCAGGACAATTTTGCTCTTTGGATAATATTTTGGTCATCGACCAGCTTCTTTGCAGTCGGAAGAGACAATTCGGAGACTGCAAACGTCCTTGTCTTTTTATTCAGATGATATTCTGTCCATCACCTTCGTTGCATCGCAGAAAATCTTTTTATACCTAAATACATCTAAATTCGAAGAAGGAAGCTGCGAGATGGGCGCGGTGGGCGGAAGGAACCGATTCGAACCCCAGATTTTTTTTCTCTTTTTTTTTTGCGTGCACCCAAGGGCCACACCCTGCACGACAACACCAAGATTTTGTTCAACAGCTTTGATATGGGTGATGGCTCGAACACCAGATAATTCTCTTTTTCCTCATCTTCCCCTTAAGCCACTGAGCACATTTCGGGACGCGTTTTGATTTAAGGCAGGACCGGGTTTTTATTGGACCCGGGCCCGAGCGAAAAATGCAACGCCTGGCTTCGGGCCAGGCGAAGGAGAGCAATCAAGTTTATGTTCCGTGCAGACTGGGTTGAAAGAAAAGAAAAAAAGAAAGAAACCCGAATCTGGCAAGCTGAGTGATGACGAAAAGTTTTTGAGTCCCGAGCCTAGGGGGAAAGAGATTCAAGGAAAAGAAATGAAGAGAAGAAAAGGTTCTGGCCACCCGTGGTTTTGAATGATGGACAAATGCATGTAAGTAATTTTTTTTAGACTGAAAAAAAAAACCTGAGAAATGCGTAGTCTTGGATTAGATTCAGGAGGATTTTAATCACGTTTGAAAAAAGAAATAGAACACCTCATTCACTCCACTTCATTTATACGACTCGTTATTCATGTCCACTTGCAAGTTCAGCATTCGAAAGAGCACATGTCTGCAAGGTTTCCCTGCAAAGTAATCCCAATTTCTAGGTAAGTAATGTACAGTACATTAGCACCATTTTCAGACGCCATGATGAAAAACCCAGTTTTCCAGATAATAACCCTTGATTATCGAATACCGGTAATCATAATGAAATGTGGTGTTAACCAACGGAATCGTTCGTTCTTCCAATCATGTCACTCCCAACCCATTCAGTCACTAAAATGCCCGGAAAATCAGTGCACCAACCGAATAATTGATGACAAAATAAAAATTATCCACGAGCACGGCTGAATTCTGGTTGAAACTTTGAAGGACGAGCAGAAATACGTTCACTTACTGAAAATTAAGCAATGAACCCTTTTCGATTCATAAACCAATGCTTAAGTTACAGAAAACTTTGAAAAACCTTGCTATCTACGTCAAAGACGTCCAAGATAATTTACATCTACTCGACCATGTTCGTGAACATTAAATGCCCGTTTCCAACCCCCACGGCAAACTGTTTCGCCATTTCTCTAATAATTAAATCAACAGAACGATTTGAAAACAGTCTCTTGAGTGTCCGTGTTTCTCCAGAAACACCCTGTACCTTGTTCCGGCGTCTTTCCGCGCACACGATTGAGAGGAACTTCACGGTAATTACTGAAAGCTGGGAAATCCGCGGGTTAACCGTTGTTGTGCGGAGCGACGGAGTTTTGATTAGCGACAAGGAATGCAGAGGACGGCAAGAATGAAAAATAAGAGCCAAAAAATAATAATAATAGCAGAAAAAGGAAGAAGAAGAAGGAGAAGAAAAGGTTTTCGACGCGGCACTCGTAGTGTGTCCGTCGCGGTCTGCGGGCAGCCCGGAAGGGAAGCCCTGCGTGTCGCGTCGACGACGTTCCGCGTTTCCGACGAGCAATCTCGTCATTTGGAAGTGAGCCCGTCGCGTCGCTTTGCCCTGTCACAGGCGTGGGCAGGAAACGAACGAATCAAATGACACGCTCGCGGGGGCGTGTGGTGGTGGTGGTTGTGCGCCTCACCTAACCCGTGCCCGGGGTTCTTTTATTTTTTTTTTTTGGGTGTGCCTCAGTCTGCTGGTTGTGAACTTGTGGGTTCCGCGAAAAACGCACCCACCCTTTATTCCCGCCCAACGTTTCCGTTCTCTTATGGTCCATGCTTGGGGTATCGTCAGGACAACTCCCGAGAACAGCAACTGAACAAGTACAGTACTCTACTGCACTGGAAAAATGCCAATTCATCAACATCGCANGAGTCCTTCAAGTGCGACAAGCCCGCAAGGCGACTGCTCGGAAAGTTAGCCGATTGCCAAATTTGAGCGTTTCGAAAAAAAATGTACGAAACTTGTGCACAGTAGCAGGTTAATCCGCACAAGAACTCCAACATAAATTTCCTAGCTAATAAAGTATTCAGTTTATAAACAAATCAAGATGGACACAGAACCTTCGGCTGGAACATGAGAACAGTAGATTTCATTGCAGCCGTTCATTGCAGAACTACGCAGATGTGAAATTTTGCACTTAGTAGGAATGTAGGAAACTAGTTAGTCACGTACAGTACGATCATATTTCATCATCAGAGAATATCGAAGAATGTCGTGTAGATTTTCACTGATGAAATTTTCACTTCAAATTCAAGGTTTGGAAAACCACGAGAATCCTCAAAACAAAAATAATTTCACGATTTCTATAACGAAGGAATTCCTTAAAATAATCGAAAAAGTTCCCTGAAAGTTCAAATGGAGACGAAAAGCGTGGATATTCTGTGAATAATGGGAGTATTTCGCAAACAAAAAAATTGCAATTCTCTCGCCTGACAAAAATTTTGTTTCTGCATGGATTCGCTACATACGCAGTCTAATACGGAGAGATCGATAAAATGTATCTATAACTTGACCAGTCTCGTTAATAACAGTTTAATCGAATTTGATGACAATATCAACCCTTGTTGACGGGGTTTTCCCTCCAGTTTCACTCACTGCCAACTGCCAAGTATATAAAGAAATTATTAGTCCCAAGCATCAGACCTAAGCTGTTCAGAAAAGCGAATCCACAAGGAATTGACCGCATGCACCGCAGAAAAGCATATATCCAATAAACCGACCCCACCCTTGATAACCCAAACCGCAACTGTTCCTCCTCTTCTTCATGGAATTTTCCTTTTTCACGCAGCTCAGTGAGGAAAAAAATAATAACCAACATGCATACACACATGAAACGTTCGTTCGATATAAACACACCCTAACTCATAATGGCGAAATAATTGCCCCCGACGCAAATGAAACAGCTCACGAACGCATCATTAAAAGACAGGAACTGCAATGATACACGCATCGGCTCTCGTTCCTTACCATTACAACTAGTTCCGCGACGTTTGGTTCTCTCTCGACACCAGCGATTCGTTTCTCGACGACGTCGAGCCCCAGTTCCTCCAAAGACACACGACGTATTTCAAACTCCCGACTTTAAAAAATACACCAGGCCTGAAACCTTGTGTGACGAAACTGCTCACATGCATCAAGCACTGAGCATTTTTCTGGCAACCAAGACCACAGCAGTACTCATGGCACAGCGGATAAAAAAAGCTTGAAAAAATAATTAACTAACTGAGAAGCAGGAGTCCGGTTTCACGAGAAAAGTGCATTTAAGTACTGTAATTTCCATCTTCAAGAGATGGGACCAAAAAAAATTTCTTTGTGCAAAGAAACCCTGTAACCATTTGGAAAAAATCGCTGTACGAAGAGTCACCCTGTATATATAATCCCCACGGCAATTCATTCACACAACCATAACAAAATAGTCGTATGAGAAAATTTATTTTAGCGTAAAATGCAACCAACATGAAATTTTTCGTCGATCGCATAAAACATTTAGCTTTGCTATAAAGGAAACGGCGTTCGCGTATTTTTAAATACGAATTTAAAATCAGTTTTAAGTTTTCAAATATTCGCCACTAATTTCTCTAATTGGACATCGGATTTTGAATCTCAGTTTAACCCAAAAAAAAACCTCCGAGGTGAAGTAAACCTTCAACATGAAGTCACTAAAATAGCACTACAAAGATCAGCCGAGGCAAAGTAACCGTAACTTATATTCAACAACAAAACTGCTAAAAGAAAAAAATAAAAGTTTGACGAAAGAAGAAAAACATCCTCCCATTAAATAGAAAAAAACGGGAGTAAAAACGAAACAAACAAAAAACAACAGAAACGAAATAGAAAAAGGAATAAACGAAAAATTGAAGCAACCCCAACCACGAACAGGATCGAATGGAAAACAAACAAAAAAAGCGTCGGGAATCGGGTTTTCTCAAGAAGGCAGCTTAGATTCGGCCCGATTTTGCATCGCGTCGCCCCGGGATCTAAGTTCCTGTTCGAGCCCGAAACCCTCAATGGCTTCCGAGCCAGCGTGAGGCACGGCAAAAAACGCCTTGGCGAATTTGGAAATAGAATCCAATCTCCGCTGGAACTCGCTTCTACACCCGCTAAGGTTGGTGAATTCCTCCAAACCGGGCTCTCGAATCGCATCCTGAATCGCCTTCATCTGGCCGCCAAATTTCATGGATGATCTGGACAGCGAGTACCTAAAATCCCTTGGATACCTGGCCTTGTCAACCTTTCAAACAACACAAAACGGGTTCTTCTCAGACCATCGAAAAAATTCCAATCGTCATTTTCGCCAGAAAAAAAATTTCAGCGTATGACAGATATTTAAAGCTCAAAAACATACGCGCGATGAAGAATTTGTTCGTTAAAATAATTAAACCAACAAATTGATTCATAAAATAAGTTTTTACGAAGTCACAAACCCTTTACCCCTGAGTACTCCGCGGATGCACAAGAGAATATGATTTAATCGAGAGTGGGATTGAACTGAAAATGAGAAAGTACAATTTAATAAAAAAAATTTGCACGAACTGGTAACTTCTACAGTACAGCATAACATTTCATTTGCAAGACTTCGGGGATTCGTCCCAATTTCATTTCAGAAGGGCGTCCGGCGAATTAATCACTGAAAAGCCTCATGAACACAAAAACGAGCAAAATCGTGTGCTTCTGCGGAGTGAAGGACACCTCAAGGTACTAACAAACCGATTGCTCACGACAATGAAAATAAAAAAAGATAACGCTGCTCAAGTGTAACAATGTCGGAAAGTAATTCTTATCCCTTGCCTGACCTTTTTTTCTCGAGACAGCATAGGACTTCCTCTTAGATTTTATTTAATTTAAAATTACAAAGCAGAGGTCAGAAAGGTGAGAAAAAAAGTTGGTACCAACCCCGCCAGCGCGAAGGTACACAAGGAAGTTGGACCGAATCGGTCCCGGAACCTGGCCCATAAAATACATGGCGGCTTCGATCGCGGCACAAACGCCAGTAGAGTATGGCTGCGACTTCGGAGTCACGTTCCCGAAACAACCCCAACGAATCAGCAGTGGATCAACAGTTTCCCGCAAATCGTCCATGAAGTTCACGAAAGTTGTGAGCCAGCTTTCAATACCTGCGAGTTGGACTGCGACCTAGGCGCAAAAATAAAATTTTCCACGTTATATTTTAAAGCCTGGGCATTTGGATGCCACGAATAAAAAGAACCTCCGCAACTTGAAATCCCCATCTTTTCTAAAGCGCGTTTAGGTCAGAAAATTTCCAAATCAGTCTCCCTTTCAAGTTCAGCGCCAATTTTTGCGAGATTCACTCGTCATTAGCATTCCTCAACATGACAAAAAATTACTGTGAAATTTTCAAACATAGGCTTGTGAAAAATAAAACATTCAGTCATGATCGGGAATCATTTCGAAACTTTGGACGATCCTTGAAACGCAAAAAATACTCGGGAATATAAAAATGAATTTTTTAAAGAGAATTTCATTGCAGAATAAATTCTCCCGCCCAACGTTTCCGTTCTCTTATGGTCCATGCTTGGGGTATCGTCAGGACAACTCCCGAGAACAGCAACTGAACAAGTACAGTACTCTACTGCACTGGAAAAATGCCAATTCATCAACATCGCATAGTCCTTCGAGTGCGACAAATCCGCAAGGCGACTGCTCGGAAAGTTAGCCGATCGCTAAATTTGAGTGTTTCGAAAAAAAATGTACAAAACTTGTGCACAGTAGCAGGTTAATCCGCACAAGAACTCCAACATAAATTTCCTAGCTAATAAAGTATTCAGTTTATAAACAAATCAAGATGGACACAGAACCTTCAGCTGGAACATGAGAACAGTAGATTTCATTGCAGCCGTTCATTGCAGAACTACGCAGATGTGAAATTTTGCACTTAGTAGGAATGTAGGAAACTAGTTAGTCACGTAGAGTACAATGATATTTCATCATCAGAGAATATCGAAGAATGTCGTGTAGATTTTCACTGATGAAATTTTCACTTCAAATTCAAGGTTTGGAAAACCATGAGAATCCTCAAGACAAAAATAATTTCACGATTTCTATAACGAAGGAATTCCTTAAAATAATCGAAAAAGTTCCCTGAAAGTTCACATGGAGACGAAAAGCGCGGATATTCTGTGAATAATGGGAGTATTTCGCAAACAAAAAAATTGCAATTCTCTCGCCTGACACAAATTTCATTTCTGCATGGATTCGCTACATACGCAGTCTAATACGGAGAGACCGATAAAATGTATCCATAACTTGACCAGTCTCGTAAATAACAGTTTAATCGAATTTGATGACAATATCAACCCTTGTTGACGAGCTTTTCCCTCCAGTTTCACCTACTGCCAAGTATATAAAGAAATTATTAGTCCCAAGCATCAGACCTAAGCTGTTCAGAAAAGCGAATCCACAAGGAATTGACCGCATGCACCGCAGAAAAGCATATATCCAATAAACCGACCCCACCCTTGATAACCCAAACCGCAACTGTTCCTCCTCTTCTTCATGGAATTTTCCTTTTTCACGCAGCTCAGTGAGGAAAAAAATAATAACCAACATGCATACACACATGAAACGTTCGTTCGATATAAACACACCCTAACTCATAATGGCGAAATAATTGCCCCCGACGCAAATGAAACAGCTCACGAACGCATCATTAAAAGACAGGAACTGCAATGATACACGCATCGGCTCTCGTTCCTTACCATTACAACTAGTTCCGCGACGTTTGGTTCTCTCTCGACACCAGCGATTCGTTTCTCGACGACGTCGAGCCCCAGTTCCTCCAAAGACACACGACGTATTTCAAACTCCCGACTTTAAAAAATACACCAGGCCTGAAACCTTGTGTGACGAAACTGCTCACATGCATCAAGCACTGAGCATTTTTCTGGCAACCAAGACCACAGCAGTACTCATGGCACAGCGGATAAAAAAAGCTTGAAAAAATAATTAACTAACTGAGAAGCAGGAGTCCGGTTTCACGAGAAAAGTGCATTTAAGTACTGTAATTTCCATCTTCAAGAGATGGGACCAAAAAAAATTTCTTTGTGCAAAGAAACCCTGTAACCATTTGGAAAAAATCGCTGTACGAAGAGTCACCCTGTATATATAATCCCCACGGCAATTCATTCACACAACCATAACAAAATAGTCGTATGAGAAAATTTATTTTAGCGTAAAATGCAACCAACATGAAATTTTTCGTCGATCGCATAAAACATTTAGCTTTGCTATAAAGGAAACGGCGTTCGCGTATTTTTAAATACGAATTTAAAATCAGTTTTAAGTTTTCAAATATTCGCCACTAATTTCTCTAATTGGACATCGGATTTTGAATCTCAGTTTAACCCAAAAAAAAACCTCCGAGGTGAAGTAAACCTTCAACATGAAGTCACTAAAATAGCACTACAAAGATCAGCCGAGGCAAAGTAACCGTAACTTATATTCAACAACAAAACTGCTAAAAGAAAAAAATAAAAGTTTGACGAAAGAAGAAAAACATCCTCCCATTAAATAGAAAAAAACGGGAGTAAAAACGAAACAAACAAAAAACAACAGAAACGAAATAGAAAAAGGAATAAACGAAAAATTGAAGCAACCCCAACCACGAACAGGATCGAATGGAAAACAAACAAAAAAAGCGTCGGGAATCGGGTTTTCTCAAGAAGGCAGCTTAGATTCGGCCCGATTTTGCATCGCGTCGCCCCGGGATCTAAGTTCCTGTTCGAGCCCGAAACCCTCAATGGCTTCCGAGCCAGCGTGAGGCACGGCAAAAAACGCCTTGGCGAATTTGGAAATAGAATCCAATCTCCGCTGGAACTCGCTTCTACACCCGCTAAGGTTGGTGAATTCCTCCAAACCGGGCTCTCGAATCGCATCCTGAATCGCCTTCATCTGGCCGCCAAATTTCATGGATGATCTGGACAGCGAGTACCTAAAATCCCTTGGATACCTGGCCTTGTCAACCTTTCAAACAATACAAAACGGGTTCTTCTCAGACCATCGAAAAAATTCCAATCGTCATTTTCGCCAGAAAAAAAATTTCAGCGTATGACAGATATTTAAAGCTCAAAAACATACGCGCGATGAAGAATTTGTTCGTTAAAATAATTAAACCAACAAATTGATTCATAAAATAAGTTTTTACGAAGTCGCAAACCCTTTACCCCTGAGTACTCCGCGGATGCACAAGAGAATATGATTTAATCGAGAGTGGGATTGAACTGAAAATGAGAAAGTAAAATTTAATAAAAAAAAGTTGCACGAACTGGTAACTTCTACAGTACAGCATAACATTTCATTTACAAGACTTCGGGGATTCGTCCCAATTTCATTTCAGAAGGGCGTCCGGCGAATTAATCGTTGAAAAGCCTCGAACACAAAAAAGAGCAAAATCGTGTGCTTCTGCGGAGTGAAGGACACCTCAAGGTACTAACAACCGATTGCTCACGACAATGAAAAAAAAAGATAACGCTGCTCAATTGTAACAATGTTGGAAAGTAATTCTGATCCCTTTCCTAAACTTTTTTTTCTCGAAATAGCATAGGACTTCCTCTTAGATTCTATTTAATTTAAAATCACAAAGCAGAGGTCAGAAAGGTGAGAGAAAAAGTTGGTACCAACCCCGCCAGCGCGAAGGTACACAAGGAAGTTGGACCGAATCGGTCCCGGAACCTGGCCCATAAAATACATGGCGGCTTCGATCGCGGCACAAACGCCAGTAGAGTATGGCTGCGACTTCGGAGTCACGTTCCCAAAACAACCCCAACGAATCAGCAGTGGATCAACAGTTTCCCGCAAATCGTCCATGAAGTTCACGAAAGTTGTGAGCCAGCTTTCAATACCTGCGAGTTGGACTGCGACCTAGGCGCAAAAAGAAAATTTCCCACGTTATATTTTATATAGCCTGGGCATTTGGATGCCCTGAATAAAAGAACCTCCGCAACTTGAAATCCTTATCTTTTCTAAAGCGCGTTTAGGTCAGAAAATTTCCAAATCAGTCTCCCATTGAAGTTCAGTGTTCATTTTCGTGAGAATCACTCGTCATTAGCATTCCTCAACATGACAAAAAAATTTCTGTGGAATTTTCGAACATAGGCTTAACTTTTTATTTTGTAAGTCAGTACTAGCCCTTAGTAAAGCTTTGAAACCTGCTAGGAACTTTGCGTTTTTTATGAGCCCTTATATTTTTACTTAAAAAATTTCTCTTAAAGTAACGTCTTATTTAAGCAGAAAATATAAAACCTGGAGCTGTGCTGGAGGATTTCACTAGGAATGAACAATTGGCAGTAAGGATTTCCCTCCGAAGAAATCGAGGTGAAAAAATATCATTTTGATATGGATAACAATTCAGACCAACGAGTGAGTCACTATGGAAAAAAAAAACCCTCACCCTCCGCATATTCTTGACCAGCTTTCCGGCCCATTTGATTTGCCGCAGGGCAGCTGTCGCCGGGTCACTGACAAAATCTTCATTCGCAATATTCAGGTAGAAAGCGAGTTCGCCAAGTTCCATCTGCTCTTCAAGCAGTGCAATATACTGATAAGCTTGTCCTTCGAGTGCAAAAAACTGACTGCCAACGACGGCGTCAACCAAGGGATCGTCCATCAGTTTTGAAACTTCCGCGTAGCGCCTAGTGATGCTCACGTTTTGTTTGTCGAGCAAATCTCGCTCAGCTTGTAGGTATCTTGAAAAATATTTCGCCTGCCATCACGAATTATTCCGAAGATTGCAACATACAGTACAACTAACTGATTTCAGATCATAGAAAAAATAATAATAATTGGCATCGTATTGGAATAGGGAAAACCGCCGTAAGCAAAGCATCAAGGAAAAGTTTTCTAAAAAGCTCTGATGCGATGAAGATTTCTTCGAAATTGGAATTCAGCATATGCTCTTAAAATCGGCAAATGAATGATCAATTCAAGCTTGAAGATGCAATTATAACGCCTCATTACGCTCGTGAGATGCCTTTAATGAGCATAATCTTCCGTTTTCTCGCGCAGCTAATAAACTTCAAACCTTGTTCATTGCACGGAGAATTCGCAGAAAATGTCGGGACATTGAAATTGCATTAAATTGTTTCGCAGAATTTTAAATTCACGATTTCAAAACCAGGTCGCATTCCTTCGTTTTAAATGTTGATCCATACGACATTACAATTTTTTCGAAATTTTAAAAATTAAATGACACGGCTTCGAACCTTAGTCGTCATCTTGAAGAGTTTAGATGGAGGATAATAGGCATCAGAGCGGAAGGGAAAAGAAGAAAAGAGTGTTCGAGACTTTTGAATATCCGTTTCGCAGCCTTCGTGGGAAGTTTGAATGACGACATAGTTTAAAAAAAGGAGGGGGAATTGACAACTACTTGTATCCGTGAAGTTCTCGCAACGAGCCGTAAATTTCCACGTAGGTATCAAATCGCTTGAGGAAGTTGGTCAGCACGTTGGTAGACAAGCCCCGGATCTTTTCATAGTAACTGTCAAAACTCTCTTTCACCAAAGGTGCTTCGTAACGAAGCATTTCTTCATTAGCAAAATGCGTGTCCCAGAGTTCTGGAGCAATGTTGCCTGAAAAAAAAAATGGCGAAGGACAAACACGTTTTTCATCCCCGCGAAAAGCTGGATATTTCAAGCCATGACTCATGAGTCAAGTGTCCAGTCAAACATTACAAGTTAAACGGGCTATTTTACGATTTCAGGTTTATGACAACCCTTAGAATTCAAGTTTTATTTTTCTTAAAGACAGCCAAGATCAGCAGTGAAAAGCATGAAACCACAAAGGATTTGATCGTGGTTTAACGCATCCCTTTCTTCCCTCGACTTCTTGCGCATGAATTTGATCTTTAAAGCAAACTGCACATTCGCGATCACGAACAGAAAACATAGCTACTTTATCGTCGAAAAATAGGCTATGAGATCTTGGATAACGCAGTAAAACCGATCCATCAAGAGTATTTTAAACATTTGGAAACGACGTTTTCACGTAAGATTCCTCTAAAAAAAAGATACGTGAACATTCACTGTGAAGTTGAATGCCCACCCCTTTTATGTTCTCCAAAATTTCAATCTGGACTCTTAGAACACTTTCACGTATGTTTTCGCGCTATTATTACCACGTAAAATTCAGTAAAAGATACGTGAACATTCACTGTGAAGTTGAATGCCCACCCCTTTTATGTTCTCCAAAATTTCAATCTGGACTCTTAGAACACTTTCACGTATGTTTTCGCGCTATTATTACCACGTAAAATTCAGTAAGCATTCGAGCATTTGAGAAAAATTGGATAGCGAAAAATATGATCCAGTAAAATGTAGAAGTCAAACCTCGTGCTAGACTTTATCTCATTCTCCGTCCATATCATGCTTTATCTTCAGGTGATTTTTAGATCGGCAAATGATAGTTTCTCAGTTCTACGCGGCTGATCCCGGAAAATAAAAAAAGATTATGGCTAAATAAAAGGACAAAATTCAAAGACGAAACCTTTGGGCATGAATGCGTAATATTCCGCGAAAACAGAAGCAACTAAAATAGTGAACAGTACAAGAAATGTTGCACCACTTTGGAAATTGACTCACGAAGAGGTTTCTTTGAATACAAGACTATTTTTTCAAGCACATCGAGAACCTCTGATTTTGTGGCATACCAGTGAAAACGTTTTCGATGAGATCCTTGGCATCAAAGACCCGAAAGGCCCGGGTAAGGATGTTAGGCCAGGCTGGAGGAGACCATGTGTCAGCAAGGTTGAATTCGCCCCTAAGCAACTCTTGCCCTTCAATCTCCCGAGGTTTGCACGACGAAGTATATGACGCATGTGTAGGACCGACATAACCGACGCAAGGTATAGTCACTGATTGGGACCAACCTCCCACCAAACGATCCTGTGAAATCCCGTCTAACGTAATTCGATGTTACTCAACGTAGAGCCTGCTTTAGGTAGCCCAAGACCTAATTGGATACTTCAGACTACTCGCGCAAATATTCTGAAAAAATCAACACTAGGTTCAACTGCGCCACAAACAAAAGCTTCTCAACAAAAAGGACAATAAATTGTTGACCATGTTCTGTAAAATCTAGAAAATTATGCAGAAAAAATTAACTGTGTTACAGAAGAAAGTTATGATTTACTTTCTCAATAAAAACCTTTCTGACCTCTCCGGAGACAGATTCTTCGCCTCGATCGTCATCACCTTCAACAGGCGGATTTTGATCAGAAAATTCTAAACACCGCCGTTGAAATGTCGGTTCTTCACCAATCAACCTGACACGATCACTTTCTTTACCCGGAGGCAAAAATTTGCCCACTTCTGATTTGGCGCAAGCATTGAAGCGTAAAGCCTGTTGCAACATGATTCTCGAGGTTAGCTGAATTCTGAGTTTACGAAGTGGCTGACAAAGGGGTGCGAAAATAGTGTAAAGGTTGTTGACTATTTTTTTTAATGAATAGAACGATTATAAAGGAACACTCGGTTAATTGCTGGGATTAAGATAAAGCACACCTAGATAATGGTCATGACAGAAAAAAAAATAAGGCGACTTTTACAGTACCGTGTTTGACGAGGGAACTCCTACACTGAAACTTTCGTCATTCTCAGTTTCCATTCGAAAAACCGTATCGTTCATTTGCAATAAATTAATTCTACAGTATGTTTTATTTCTTCGAAAATCCGATGAAGTGGGATCATCTACGATATTTTGAATTAAATTATACACGGAGAATACTTAACCTACCCTGTATTCAACGAATACAGTCCATCCCTTTTTGACCTCAAACCTCGTATAACTTAAATTTGACTAAATGAATGATTCAAGGCTTGATATGTCATTGTACAACCGAAAGTGCAACTGCACAAAGGCAGGCAAAAAAATGCACTTGAACCTCAATAAATGCATTAAAAACTTCCTCAACTCGAAGGCTACCCCTCAAATCTCAATAACTCGAATTTTCTGGACGCCCTTCGGCTAATATTTTATTGACACAGGAAAGAGAAAATCCAATATAAAATTANACCTACCCTGTATTCAACGAATACAGTCCATCCCTTTTTGACCTCAAACCTCGTATAACTTAAATTTGACTAAATGAATGATTCAAGGCTTGATATGTCAATGTACAACCGAAAGTGCAACTGCACAAAGGCAGGCAAAAAAATGCACTTGAACCTCAATAAATGCATTAAAAACTTCCTCAACTCGAAGGCTTCCCCTCAAATCTCAATAACTCGAATTTTCTGGACGCCTTTCGGCTAATATTTTATTGACACAGGAAAGAGAAAATCCAATATAAAATTAGCTTTATACGTTTTGAAAGGAAATTGAAGATTATTTGGGCAAATGAACCCTTGCCTCCACATTCAGCATCACGTCAACTCATTTATGAAGCAATGCCCTCAACAAAAAATGCTTTGTTTCCCAAACTCCGAACATTCTTTCCCTAGTCCCTTCAAGTTCTACTAAAAAAAAAAGTTCGACCAATGGCAACTCGAAATCCGAAAATTTTGCACTCCCGTTTCGTCTCGTCCAAAGACGCGCCAAACGGAAGCGTCTCGCCTGATGACACCACTCATTTGATGGGAGAGGACGAAAATTAGCGGATGGCCGCCAAACTTGGCGAGCCGTCGACGACAACAGCAGCAGTACGGCAGCAATTGCTCGCCAAATCCGTCGCCGCCCCACGGGTACGCCACGACCACCCACTCGTTCCGGTCTAACTTCTCGGAAACCACCGCAATGCCCCGCCGGGTTTCCCACGTCCGAATCGCGATCTTCTCAACAATCTCCGATATCCGGCGCTCCAAGGACCGCAGATTATACACGCACGCCACATCCACACTCGGGGGGTTTCCTCATCGGGCGAAATCACGCGCAGACTGGAAAGTCGCACGCCTGATTTCCCTCCATTTTTCCACGCGAGAAACGTTAAAAAAATGAAAATGAAGAAAGAAAGAAAAAGAGACCTTCGGCAAGGTGAGAGAAGTTCGTAATGATACAGACCCCACCACGGGTAATCGCTCCACGCACGAGCCTTGAACTCGGCCCGGGGAAGAAAAATAACGCGATTTTCGCTGGGGGAAAAGAAAATTGCAGCGACGACGATTTCTTTGCTGCTGCAGTTGCTGCTGCTGCTGCTGAGGAGGGCAAGGGAATCATCATCACCCACCATCAAACGACTTCAAGGCGAGAATCTTCTTCGCGATCCCATCCCAGTATGCATTTTCATCTTCTTTTTTTTCTTTTCTGATCTCGAAATATTATAATAAGCGATAACCCCAGTACCTCGAGACGAATAATCAATGACCACTTTCATTCTCGTGGCACAGCGTAAATAATTAAATTTCTCTTTTTTTATCGTTGCTATTTCTTACAACCATGTATCGCACATTTTCGTACCCTGTAATTATCGCAAGGTTGCAAAGGAAAAGCATCAAATGACGAATTTGGCCCACTTGATCTAATCATGGCCTCTTTTGAATCTCCGAGTGGAATTTCCCACTGACTTTCCTCAGAATTGCTGCGAGCATAACGATCAATATGTATGCAACAATTCATGACATATCGCCCAGGGATATGCTCAAAAACATGCCCAAGCATTAAAATAACATGTGGGTGTTGAAGAAGGAAACAAAAATTGGTCTCCGTAAAACGAACCGTAACGTTAATCCCGTGAAATCCCGTCACAGACAAACTGACAACGTTCTCACATGCGCACCCACCGAATTACGACGGAGTTCTTGCGCAATTCGGGACGGAAACGCGTGTTTCAAACCTGTTCGCCAACTGCGGACCTACCGGAAACGAAAAATCGATCACAGGATCGGCTTTGAAACACTTGAAAAATATACACAAAAAAAGAATAAAAAACTTGAGTAATAATCCGAAAGATATCGTCGCCACAGAATAAACCACCGCGACGCCATTAGCGTCGATGGCGGAGGAAAGTAAAAAAGAAAAAAGGGAGGAAAGAAACCGAGGAATTCCCGGGGTGTTTTTTTTTTTCAGAAGGTGCATCAACAACGAGCAACGGATGACGATCACCAATGCGTCCTCGGCACGCAATACTTTTCGGGTACTCCTTTTTCATTAAAAAAAAGTAGCACGAAAAAAGTAGTGGTAATAATAGCAGAAAGTAAAGTTTATTCAGTTGCTAAAACCAGCAATAATCATCAAATACATCTCCAAATAGCGTCGATTATTCGGTCACGTTGAGACGAAGACCGAACACAAAAAAGTAATGAAGTGCGGGAGGATCAGGAAAAATTTTTTTTTACATCAGATGAAGATCCTCGAGGAAATTAACTGAAGAGAAATATGGTATATTATCAACTTGGCTTCATTTATGACTACAAATCAAATTATCCACGATTCGACCAATTATCCGCGTAACGATAAGCATATTTTCAAAATACTGTATTACAACTAAATTCATTTTTATTGAGACTGATCACTCATTAACGACATAAAAATTAGAAGAAAAAACTGCGTTCAGCACATTTCTGTCTATTTGATCCGTATATCAAAGGGAAGGTTAACTCCGTTGAAATTAGAATCTTACTTTTATTCTTTGCTAATCTGTGGAAGTCGGACGAAAAAAATATAAAAAAACGTTTTCCTTAAAACTGAGAAATCTATCTACAATGGCAAAGATAGGCATGCGTCAAACGAACTTTTTTTTTTAACTTTAAGCGACAAAATTCAACATTCTTTTATGTTTACAATTTCTATAAAATTCGAGCGACGGTCAAACCGATCCATTCGAAGTCAAAACCATGAAATTGAATATTTTCATGAGAATTTTCAGTTTCACTTCTTCAATTGTTCAGGAGACTTGGCAGCTTGAAACAAATGAAAAACAGCAGTTTGTCCATGAAATACCGAATCATACACAGATATCGCATCGATACTAAACATCAGAGACTGCTCATAATTCTTACATTTACAGAAGGAAGCAATCCGCTTACCAGAAGGATCACAGAAACTTCCACTGTTTCTTGCAGACATTTACTGTACAATGCAAAGCAGGTCCGAGAAAGAAAAAAAATTTACTCCTAGAAAAAATAAGTTTCCGAGAAAACCGGCGCCGAGAACATCCAAATGGCTTTTGCTTCTGGACAGCGAACCCCTTCCCCGGGGTTTTTACCATAAGCCACAAGCCATGTCGTCCTAATGACGCAAAAAAATCATGCGAATGCTGAGGGAAAAACGGCTCAGACCGCAGCAGCGCAATCTACAATGCCGGGCAAGTTTTGCCTTAGGAATTACCCCTCAGCTTCGAGAGCAATTTGAGCACTCGGTTTACCACCAGTCCCAACCCGCCTCAGTCTAACGTGAAGGGAAGGGGGAAAAAAACGAGAGGAAAAAATGCGGGAAATTCTTCAGTGGGAACGTCTGAAAGTTCCACGACGAGGGGAAAAAAGAAGAGACAGAACAGAAATTCATTTATTACTAAAAATAAAAAAAAAATCAGCCTAAGGCTCCATTCGTCACACTTGATCCAACAAAAAAGTTCTCCTCAGGGGTTTTTCGGTGATTTGAAAGGAAAATCTGAGTTGATTTTAGAAGTGTGAATGACAACTCGAAGGGCTTTGAAACGAATCATAACCAATCAATGGAGATTTACTTTAATCCAGTAGAACGGACTTGAAAAATATATTTCAGTACACGTTATTCTTCAAATCCCGCTGAAATTATGCTTGAATGCTTTGAAGAACGATTTCGAACCTTGCAGTATTTTCAAACGAAAAAATGTACATAGAGGTGAGCCGACTTCAACCCAGATATTTCTTTTTTAGAGAACATTGCAAAAAAAATAAATCGTCAGATGCTCCTCACTTTTAGCCGTCATAAAAGCTAAGAACGTGTGCTATTTTCAAAAAGTAATGACACAGAAATCGCAGATTGACTGGATTAAACTAATACAGCTTTTTTTTTTTAACTGTACAAGATCTCTTTCGCTATTATCCTCGCTTAAACGCCATTCTTCATGTGCTTGTTCAATTGATCTCATCGTTCAATTGATTTTAAATTGCGAATAAGACCCACTACAATCCATGAGCCAATCCCAAAACCTGTTCAGTTAGTTCGAAAGCTTGGGTATCTCTAGGAAGGTCGAATGGCAACTTTTAAAATTGCAGAATGAGATACAGTACAGTATATTTACATTAGCGAAGTTCAAGATTCGATTCTTCAGACTTCCTCAGCTAGAAATGCATCTTCCCCAAACTTGAAGATAAATTAAAAACTCGAGTAAGAGATTGCTTCATATCAGATACAAATAATCTTGACTGAGAAATCCCAAGGCGAGGAGAAAGAAAAGCAAAGTCTCCAATCCCCCCCTTTGAAATCACGATCGATCAGGACGGAATTCTTTCCTCTGCAAACAATCCTTCCAATAATAAATTTTGGTTAACAGCAGCATTTGAATTCAAATGAACATAATTTAAATTTCGAAGAAAAACACGAGACAAAGACTTCTCTCTTCGACTCAACCCCCCTCTACAACAGCAAAGAAAACGAAAAAACTTTCCACAAGAACATCTCCCCCCCT